ACAATCTGGGTCCTCATTTTACCCACCTCGGAAGGATGGAAGGCTGTCAACCCTGAGCCGGTGAGATTTGAACCGCTGACCTGCTGATCTAGCAGTAGCCTGCAGTGCTGCATTTAACCACTGCGCCACCTTTTCCTTCTCCTTTTTCTTGCCATCTTTCCTCTCCTACTTATTCTCCTTTTCCTGCCCCTCCTTCTTCTCGGCATCTCCGTTGGCAATCTTGCTGTTGATGAAACTGTGCAGCACTGCCACTGAACAGATGAAGCGAGGCAGTGTGGGGGCGATGCCACACCATGGCCCCGCATGATTGGCCCCACTGTCCAACGTCACCCTCCAGCTCCGCTGCACAGACAGGACGAGTCCCCTGGGGCCAGCTGCCCACTTCCTCCCACCCTCGGCCTTTGCTTTCTACGCATCGCATCCGGCGGCCAGATCGCATACCTGCCCCCAGCCCCACCACTGCCTTTGTCTGCTGCCTTGAGAGCCAGGCAGTCCCAGCACTTGAACTCACCAGCACTGTACAGGTTGCGCAGCCCCCGAGCGCATTGGCCAAGCAGCTGGCAGGCTTCCATGTGCTTGTTGCCTCCAGTGCTGGCATGCCCACCCCACAAGGGTTGACAATCTTAAGTGGGACTTACTTAAGAGCACTAAGAGTCATGCTAGGGCTTATTTTCTGGGTGGGTCTTATTTTTGGGGAAACACAATAGTGATGGCTATCTTTAATCTTCGGTAAACATTAAGTAAGCAAACTTTCCTGCCAAGATCATGACCATTCTTCTCACAAAACTGCTAAAACACTTGGTCCGTCTTCCGTTAGACAACCTTCACCAATGCTAAACATGCTGAAAGGCTGGAGACCAGACAGTGGTTGCCCAATGCCTCCAAATCCAAGAAATTCCAGAAATGTTAGTTTTGGAAGTAGGAATTTTCTGTTGGGTAGCTACGGAGTTTCTTTGTATCTGATCTTCCAAGGTAGGGCATAAAGCCACTGAAGCGATTTTACAACAGAAGAGAGGGAAGACTGTCTCGAAACCAAACTTCAACGTACCAAAGAAAGGTAGCTTCCTTCCAAATACACAAATAATGTCTTCAGACCTGTTGAGAGTCTCCTTCTGAGGATTAAATGGGAAGATTAAGAGCCAAGGAGACGTGGGGAAGGTGTGCTGCACTCCCCAGACCCAGCTGTTTTTCAAATGTTGGGCAACACACTGCTGGGAGGGGGGTACAATTCAGAAATAAAAAGTGCTAAAATAAAAGATGTAGCTCTTTGAAGCATCTCCAAGTTACTATGGGCAAGTTCTTGAAATTTTACTTTGTTTTCGTTTCCACCGGTGTATAACAATGTCACTGGTCTAAGGGAAAGACTTCCCGATTTCCAAGATAGGTAAGGAAACATCCTAGCAAAGGTTTATTCCAGCAATCACTCCTATCAAGCTTCCCCTCTGCTCGGAAACTGTAGCTGTGAGCAAATAGGCCAGATTAATTCCAGGTCAGTAGAACAAGGACATACCTGGAGTGTCACACTGGGCCACAGCAATTGCCTTCCGCAGCACAGGAGCAATATCTTTGACAGTGCTCACTGAGGCACAGAATTTGCAGAGTGGTTTGAATAGAGATAACTGGTCAATATCTTGGAGAGCTCCTCGGCCCTGAGGAGAAGAAGAATGGAGAGAAACAACTGAAAGCCCGCTCTCATAGTCATTTCACATGGAAATAGCTGATTTTACCATCAGGTACGCAAATAATTATAAAAAGTGGCTTGTTTACCACACAAATGCTGTGCAAAAGTTAATTCAGATTACCTGATACGCCTCTTCTCATAGGTTCACCCAGGCAGGGTTGACACCATCCGCTCACTGATAGGACTGAGTCTGATGACAACTGTTAAACCACGCCCCTGTCGCTAGGCAGACCCAGCTTTCGGTGAAGTTTTGTCAGACTCGATGCGTTACCCCTCAACGAAAGTCTTGACGAGAGTCCACTGTAATACCTAATGTCACAGTCAGTCAAAGAAAGTTTCAGTTACGAGGCCCAGTGTATCTCTGGGAGGGGCTGGATGATACCTCCACCCTATGAAAAGAGGCATATCAGGTAAGTACCAACGCCCTTTCTCCATAGCGGTGGAGGTATCACCCACACTGGGATGTACCCAAGCCGGAATTGTCCCTCGGGAGGCTTCATAACTGGTCTGAGGAGGTCCCTGCTCTACGTACACCTTGTAGCACCCTGTGGCCGAAGGCCGTGTCAGCCGATGCAAAGGAATCTATTTTATAGTTTCTTATAAAAGGAGCCACGGGGAAGTCCACGTGGCCACTCTGCAGATCTCAGCCATGCCTGCATGGCCCAAGCGGCGGAAGTTGCTGCATTCCTGGTAGAGTGGGCAGTTATTTTTCCAGGGGGGGCGTCATAGATTGAGCCTGATACGCCGTGGAAATGCAGGCGCTCAACCACCTACCAAGTGTTGGGCCAGTGACCTTCTGCCCCATAGAGGCCGGCTGGAATGATACAAATAGTGCTTCAGATCTTCTGAAAGACAAGGTCCTTTTCAGGTAGATCTTTAGGTAGATCTCACCTCACGTCCAAGGTGTAACACTTCCCCTCCAGGGGATGAGCTGGCTCTGGACAGAAGTTTGGAAGAATAATTTCCTGAGCCCGGTGAAAGCAGCAGCACACCTAGGGGATGAAGGAGGGATCAAGCCGTAGCTCCACCCGGTCCTGGTGAAATATACAAAGGTCCCCTCGGGATGAGAGGGCTTGTAGTTCTGATAAAACGCCTAGCAGAGGGGATGCCTATCAAAAATGTTACCTTTAGCATAAGAAACCCTAAAGACACCTTGAGTAAAGGTTCAAATGGACTAGTGCTGAGTACATCAGGAACTTTAGGAAGATCCCACGTGGGATACCTATGTACCGGGGGGGGGGAGGGGTTGAGTTTAGTTGCCCCTCTTAGGAACCGCCTGTTGGGTGCTGAGTTAATGACTGACGTTTCCTGCAAGTCAGCACCGAGGAGATAGCCACTACTTATTTCCTAAGGGTATTAGGAGACAACCCCCTACCCAGACCATCCTGGAGAAAGTCCAGGACCTGTGCAATAGTCGCCCTGAGTGGTAGAATGTCATTACCATCCCACTAGGAGCAGAACATACACCAGGTAGAGTCATATATTCAGCCTTCAAGCAGCTTGAATTGTCCAGATGACCGTGTCCTCCCTCAGGACGCTCCACTCAAGCGCCAGGCGGTCAGCTGGAGCCACTGAGGTTGTGAGTGCTCCAGCGACCCCTGGTTGAGGTTCATCCTGTCCCAAGGGATCCTCCAGGGCCTGTCCACTGATAGGGTCCGAAGGTCGGCGAACCAGGGCCGATGGGGTCGGGGGGGGGGGGGGGGGCTATCAGCACGACCTCTGCTTTTTCTTCCAAGATCCTCTGGATCACCCTCGGCAGGATGGGTAGAGGAGGAAATGCATATAAGAGACCCTGAGGCCAACTGCAGTGGAGAGCATCCACCCCCTTTGCCCACTGCAGTGGGAACTTCAAGCAGGAGCTGAGAGTTGGGAGGGGTGGCAAACAGATCAATCGTTGGAAGGCCGAAGTGGTCCACAATGTCCCGGAAGATCGATACGTGCAGGTGCCACTCTGCATTGTCCACAAGACTCCGGCTGAGCCAGTCGGCCTGCACATTCGCCACCCCTGAGATGTGCTCTGCGGTTACGGATAACAGGTTCCTTTCGGCCCATGACCCTCGTCGGCTGGCCTCCTGCATTAAGGAGCCTGTTTATCTGGGCCTTTGTCGATACGTTGCCCGTTAGGACAAGAATACGTTTGCCAGTCACAGTATGGTGGAACTGTCACAAAGCCAGGTGGGCCACTCGCAACTCCAACCAGTTTATAGCCGGTCCTCCTGCTCCACAGGCCCTATGCCATCCGTGACTGGAGGTGGCCCCCCCAGCCTAGCAGACTGGCATCTGTTGTGAGTATTACGTCTTTCCGGTGCCTTGAAAAAATTTCCCCGGTGACAGGTGGGGATCTCCACTAAAGGAGAAAACAACGTGTGACCTCCACGGGAAGGTTGATCTTGGCCAGGGAACAGTTCAATGCTTTTCTCTGAAAGGGTAAAAGACACCATTGTAGATCCCTGGTAAATCTTGGGAGGCATTAGACAAGGAGACAAGGCACAATACCTATTGCGGACACCATGGTACCCAATAAGTGGGACAATTTGGCCAGTGACACCCGTCGTTCCCTGGCTACCTGTCAAGCCAACTCCCGTAGGGGTAGCCTGTTGCTCTGTAGATAGGAATACTCTGCATTGGCAAGTGTCAATCAGGACCCCTAGATGAACCAGCCTGGTGGTAGGCATTAAATGGCTCTTGGAAACGTTGATCGAAAACCCATGGCCCTGCAACGTATGTATAGTGACTTCCAGATCCCTGAGAGCCTAATATTCAGACCTAGATTGAAGGAGAATATCATCTAAATAGCACTGTAGCCTTATGGGTATCTCTCTGAGATACGCTGCCAGTGCCGCCAAAATTTTAGTACAGACCCTTGGGGTGGAGGAGAGTCCAAAGGGCAAGGCCCTATCCTGATAGTGATGGCCGGAGAAATAAAACCTAAGATATTGTCTATGAGGTGGAGAAATTGGGATATGAAGGTAGGCTTCAGTTAATCAATGAAGGTGAGATAATCTCCTTGTCTGATGCCTCCCAAGATTTATTGTAAGGAATGCATCTTGAACCTCTTATATTTTACGAATCGGTTCAATCTCTTCAAGTGGAGAATGGCTCTCCAGCCACCCGAGGCTTTGGGGATTACGAACAGTAAAGAATAAAAGCCCAGTCTCTGTTGTTGTTTAGGCACTCTCTGAATGGCCCTGATTGTCAATTGCCCTGCAGTCATGTTCCTTTTGGGATTTTTGGCCTGCCACACTCTCTATTATTTTCCTATGCCGTGTCATTAGTGTAGTAATTGGGAGGGGGAATAGAAAGGAGTAGAATTGCAGAATGTGTTGTTGTCGTTCCTTTCTAGAAGCCCAAGGTTATCTTTTGTCTCCGCACCTCTGCACCTGACCGGAACCAGCCGGGTGGAGATCCCAGCGTGGCCGAAGAAGATTGGACTATGTGATGGATCTGGGCGGAAGCCCTGTGATGTAGATGGAAAGGCGAAATCTGCCCTATCCAGCCCCAAGGGTAAGATAAAGTTCCCTTGGTGGGGTGAATTGTGTAGGTCCTGCACAGACCCCCAGATTCCAGCGGTATCAATAGGCAGCCTAAGATGAAGGGCGGCTGAGGAATCGAGTCTCCTGTCAGGTGGTAATGAGGCAGGTGTTTTCTGGTTACTGGCCTTTTTATCCCTCTCTTTCTCACACCTAGAGGCAGATTTGGAGGTCTTTTTGGAGCTGGAGGACTTTGCAGTCGCCCTGCCACCCTTCCTGTGGGATTTGCTGGCACCCACTCTAGAATATGCTGAAGTGGAAGGTACGTGATCAGTTTCGTGGTTCCCTGCCACACTCTGTGGGCTGCCCTCTGGCTCAGACAAGCCACCAGCGGTCTCCTCAGGTCTCAGAGCTATTGCAACCACCATTTTGAAACTCCGACAAGCCTAGGCTGCCTAGGCTGCAAAACGGTGCTTCGCGCCTTTTTTAACGGTTCCTAGAGGCTTCCAAACAGAGCTCAGGCAAATGGACAGCTGTTATGACTCAGCAGAAGTTTGCTGTGAGTTGAGTCGGGATGCAGGAATAACAATGCAGCGGGGGCTCGTTAGGGTCGTCTTCTGGAGATAAAAGGACTGATGGTGCCACGCCCTGGTTGCAGAAGTCAACGTTCATCGTTCGTTCATGGTTTGTCGTTCGTTTATGGAGAATTCAGTTCCGTTCCTGTTTGAGTTTGTGAGACACTTGGATAAGTGATTTTGCTTCCTGAAAACCTGGTGCTGTAAGAGTTTTGTTTCTGCATTCTGCTGCATAACCCTTGTTGCCAGAGACTTTATCTATGTTTATTTTGGGCTCGCAGCCAGCGTGAGCCGAGACTGATAAAGACTTTCTTTTGGCCAGCTTTCTGTGACTTTAGTTTCGGAATAGGCTAAGTGGGGGCCAGAACAGACAGCAAAGGTGTCTCTACCAGGCAATTAGGCAGTCGCTGATTTGTTTTGTCACCAGCATCTCAGAGAGAGGCATACGCCACCCCGTAGGGGCTGCAGGCATAAATGAGCCGCCCCAGCAAGGCACAGGCCCTTAAACAGTCAAACGATTAATTCCAGACACAGGACTTATCTCAATATTTGACCTTTGCTCTGGAGCAACTGGGTACCACATCCGTCTCCACTGAGGGAGTGAGTTGAAAGCTGGGTGTGCCTAGCGACAGGGGCGTGGCTTAGCAGTTGTCGTCAGAGTCAGTCCTATCAGTGGGCGGATGATGTCAACCCAGTTTGGATGATCCCTCCACCACTATGGAGAAAGCCATAATGTATCTAACAAAACGAATCAGCCATGTTAGCAAACTGCCCGTTGTTTGTTTCCAAACTTCAGAGCCAGAGGCAGGAACCGCTTACCTTCTGCAATGTGCTTGCTGCCCCTCCAATCAGCAACACAGGGGATTCTGCCATCTGGGCATTTTTCATAGCTGTCACAGTATTTGTTACTCCAGGTCCTGCTGTCACCGCAGCAACTCCCACCGTCCCTGCAACAGAAGAACCCAAGCGAGGCGTCATTTGGGTCTGTGGATTCCTCCCACAGAGAAAAGGACGGCAAAGCAATACCTGAGAGCCTGGCCACGGCGTCTGCGGCGAACACAGCGGTCACCTCATGCCTCGTATCCACAACGCGGATGCCCAATTTTTCACTAGCCACCAAAATGGGGGAGATGTGTCCGCCCACAAGCGTGAACAAGTAACGCACACCATGAGCTTTTAGCACCTCTGCCACTATCTCCCCACCATGCCGGGTACTTTTAGGGTCCACCTAGAAAGGATAAGGACACACGTTGATGCCGTTTAACATGTCGTACAACAAAAATCTGGTTGCCACAATTCTCTCTAATACAGAGGAATGACCTGCAGATATATAAAAACTAGGAATAGTTTTATTTTTTTTTATTTTCTCTTAAAAGCTACCTGCTAAAAATATTTCATTACCTGAATATCTTTTTCAAGAATACAGCCTCCACTGAGGATGCATTGAATACATGTTATTCCAGAGGTTTTATTTCACAATTCTAAACGGCTTTACCTGATGCCGGAGCTGATAAATCAGTCCTAGTTTGTGCACCAGTCCAAGAAGAGTTACTGTAAAAGTTCCCAACAGTGCCAGAGCCCATATTGAGGAGCTTTCCAGGCCTAAGGTCTCAGCTACCATGGTGGGATTTATTCAGCATCAGCTAGAGATACACTACGATTCTGAAAAAGGAAAGAGACATAGAAATGGCATTCCATTAGCTATATATTTCATGCAGATGATTTTTAAGCCATACTAAACGGCTTAAATAATTGTAGTTAATTAAAATTGTAGTTACTTTCTGATGCTATTCAAATTATGGACAAAAAATAAGCAAATATAAATACTGTAAATAATGCTATTAAAACACAATTTAATAACACTTTAGCTAAGGTAGCCTGCATCGTACTAAAACGGTCGGCAAGTGAGCTTCTAGCACGACTCGCTGAGTTGCTCTAAGCCACAATGGAATATGGTTGGGGGAGTAGAAATGACAGAGACCTAAGAGAGGAAGCAGCACCCATTTATGAAGGTGATAAATAAGTAAAGATAATTAGGCAAATGTAGGCTCAGATAGTTATTTTATTACACAAGAGCAGAAATGGTTAAAGGTTGTCATTTTTAATTTGTTCATCATCAGCTGCAGAAAGGTGAATCTAAAGCAAAATTCTGGCCATCCAATATTTTACTTGAGTTCTATAAGGGTTACATGCATATGATAATTGTAATGAAAAATAGCCAACGATTTAGAGGTAAATAAAGCCTTTTGTCGTCCCTGGAGGCCATTTTTTCTTTGGGTCTTCAAGGCTGCCACTCTTAGTGCAGTGGGAAAGTGGGAGGGGGGGGTTGCATGGAGTTGGTAGAGTTATTTAGCCATAACAACATTCTTTTTTCTGAGAGTCAAGGACGTTCAGCCTGCACCTGGAGAGGCGTGACTGAGAGGCATCTCCAGTTGGGACAGGGGATTGATTAGACCATGTGATGGACACGTGGGTGGAGGGGAAAGGACTTCTGACTTTCTTTTGGGTGGGGAAAACCTGGGAGCTTTCAGATTCGGCTTTTCCCATATGTGCCAATATGACATCGCTAATAAAATGGATCTTTGAGGAGCCTGCCTCAGAGTCTTACTTGGAACCCTGACAACTTTGGTATGATCTAGGAAGGTAACTTAAAATCTTATTTAGGCAGCCGGTGTTCAGCTGCCCTGTAATATTTGTTTATACAGGAGATAGTTGCCATTGAAAGCTAAAGTTTCATCAACCAGCCAGTGACAGGAATAACCTACTTTCCGCAATGTGGCTATTTCCTCTTCATTCATGCATCGTTCATACCCCAAGCCATTCTAGAAACAAAATGCTGATCAAGCTAAGTCATGAATTGCATCTAGGAAGTTGCACCCCTCCACATGCAGCATTTGTACCAATTTTGCACTGACCTGCTGCTCCCATCTACTTACAATATTAACTTCTTGGATTACCAAATCAATTTTCTGTTGGTTCTTTGATGCAACTCAAATTGTACAACTCCATTTTGCAAATTGTGAACTTAGATCTCTATGAGGCTTGGGAGTTGGCCACTCGCTCATTATTGTATCAAGAAAAACTTGATTTCCCCAGTTAAGCAATCTATTTCTCTCAGCCTGCCTTTCAGCCTCTGGGATCAAGTAAACCATTAGTCTTCCCTCTTTATGAAAAGACCTATTCTACATTACAATTCATAATGATTTCCTAGCAATTAGAGAAAATAAAATAGAATGAAAGGTCAACCATCAAAGATTGAACAGATGATTTCAAATTGAATATCTTAAATCCTGTTGCTGTACAGGGTTATCTAAGGCTTCTGGCAGTCTAGTGCTCTTCCCAGGTGACATCTTCAGATACCTTCGTGTATCCAGGTGACGGTTAATCCTTTCTCTTCTTTCCTGCTCTCTGATCAAAAATGCCACCTTTGCTTTTACAATGCTTTTGCAATAAAAGGCATAAATCATCCCAATCCAGATGGAACTCCAGATGAGTACGTGCAAATCAAAATTTTAAAATGTTTTATGTTGCCTTTTTATTATATTGTAAGCTGCACAGAATTAATACCAATAGCGAGATGAGTGGCACATGAAGTTAAAAACAAAAAAGAAATCTAAATATAAACAATTACAATATCATCAAAAATTATCAGTTTTTTAAACATCATGAATGCCTTTAAGCTAAATTAAAGCAAGAGCTGAACATGCACTGAAATAAAACAGTGCTGACTTATTTATAAAATCCTAATAGATATTCATAAATTTAGGGCCATGATACACGTTGGGGTCACAACAGGCCATCTTTTGATTGACTGCACTGGATGAACAAGTCCAACTCTAAAAAAAAATAGATGGAAGTATCTACACTGTGTGCACAATTATTAGGCAGGTTTTGACCATATCATCATTTGTATGCATATTTTCCACCTCCAAGCTTCCTGTAGGCCCGTTGGGCCTGTTTTGTGCCCTCCCCGGGATCCGGAGGCTTTCCTGAAGCCTGGGGAGGGCGAAAACAACTTTCCCTGGGCCCCTGGAAGCTGGAAATGGATCCTTTCCAAACTTCCACTAGGCTCCATGGGCCCGTTTTTCACCCTCCCCGGGCCCTGGAAGCTTTCCTGAAACCTGGAGAGAGAGAAAATGACCTCCCTCCCCCGGCCCTCCAGAAGGCCGAAAATCAGTTGGCTGGCGTGCACATGCGCTCTGGAGTTGACGGCTTGTGTGGCGGCGGCAGATATGGCTCCGCAGGCCACCTGTGTGATATGAGTGCCGTAGGTTTGCCATCATGGCCTTACTATGTATAAGCAAATCAGGGGAGGTGTGTTTGTGCAATGAGGGAGGGTGTGGCCTAAGGAGATCAACACCCTGAATCAAGGTGTGCATAATTATTAGGCAACTTCTTTTCCTCGGGCAAAATGGGCCAAAGAAGAGATTTAACTGACTCTGAAAAGTGAAAAATTGTAAAAAGTCCTTCAGAAGGGATGTAGCCCTCTTGAAATTGCTAAGATATTGGGGCGGGATCACAGAACCATCAAGACGTTTTGTTGCAAATAGTCAACAGGGTCGCAAGAAACAAGTTGAGAAAAAAATATGCAAATTAACCGCCAAAGATTTGAGAAGAATCAAAGGTGAAGCTTCTCAGGAACCCATCATCCTCCAGTGCGGTCGCAATCCAGAACTGCAACCTTCCAGAAGTGCCCCGAAGTGTAAGGTGCTCAGAGAAATGAGCTGAAACCGCATCACCTCGGAACAAGGCACCCACTGTGTTTCCCTGAAAATACAACCTACCCCGAAAGTAAGTCCTAGTTCAATGTTTACACGTCCGCCCAATATAAGCCCCACCCCCAAAATGAGCCCTTACTAAGATCCCACCCACCCACTCCGGGGCGCATATTTATAAATTAAGCCGGACTGGAGATGGGGGGTGTTTGTGGAGCTGTCCTACTATTTACCTTCGGGCAGCTGCAGCCAGGCCTCCTCGCACATCCCATCACCTGCCTTGCCGGCCCATTTGCAGCCAGCAAGGCTGAGAAGGCTTCCCCGAAGGCCTCTGCAGAGCCAATAAGAGCTTCCGGTTGATCCGGAGCTCTGTTCTCAGCTGCAGAGGCAGCTTCAGGAAGGCCCTGCCAGCCACCGGAGTTCCTGAAAACCTCTGGCATGAAAAGGAGGCCGGGGGTGACACATGCAAGGGAGGTGAGTTAGTGGATGACATCCCCCCCACCCCCACCCCCAAATAGGACCTGGTGCCTTTTTTGGTGGCAAAAAATATAAGACAGGGTCTTACTTTCGGGGAAACATGATAAGAGTCAGTTTTGGAAGCCATGTGCCAACATGACATCTCTCATAAAGTGGAACTTTGAGGCAGTTATTGCCTTGGAATTTTATTTTGTTGTGGGTGTTTTTTGGAACCCTAACATTAAGAATAAGACTAGGCAAAGAAGTATCTGAAGAAAATTTTTTCAAGGGTTTTATGGACCGATGAGGCGAGACTCTTGGCAGATCAGACGAAAGGCCAGTGACTGGATCCGTAACAGGCACAGAGCTCCATTTCAACTCAGGTGCCAGCAAGATGGAGGTGAGGTACTGGGATGGGCTGGTATTAAAGATGAGCTGTTGGACCTTCTCGGCTTGAAGATTGAAACTTACTTCCAGT